AGAATGATATGATGCGAAATTCATCTCAAAATAAATCATCGCAACCCATCCTTTAAAGATATATAAGGACCAATGGAATAATCAAAATAACGTTAATACAATGTAGTCTTTTATTTTTTTAATTAATCATTGTAATTAAATTTAATCTCAAAATGAAACTACGTCTTTTAGGTGTCTAATTTTTACAAAAAATCTTGTTTTTTAATTAAACAAAAGTCGTCTTCACAAACGTGAGTGCTACTAATTTCATTCTTCTTACATTCTTATAATTATAATAAAAACAGATCAACTGATTGTCTATAAAACACATGTATATATAAAATTACTACTAAAACAACTTTCAGCCTCAAATAATTAAAGGTATTAAAAAGAATTAACATGCACGTATTATCTTTTCAAAAAGCACTTAAAATTTTATTGACACTCTTATCATTGTAGGTAATCCCAAGGACCACGAAGTCGTAACGCTAATTGCATATCTTTTGGAAATAAAGTTATTCTTCTACAATGCAATGCACACAAGTAACTGTCCTCAAAAAGATGAACCATATAAGCTTCTGCAGATTCTTGTAATGCTAATAAGGTCTCTGCTTGAATTCGAAGATTAGGATTAAGTTCTCCCAGTACTTCTTTTACAACTCTGGCAAAACACAGTTTTGGTATCAAAAGCGCAGTAGTCAACTGAAGTCTTCTCACTTCTCTCATGGTCTTTACGCTAACAGTAAACATTTTTGAGCCTATCATGAGGACATTCTTTCTGGTGGGTTTTCTTTTCTTAGTTGTATTAGAAGAACTTGAATTTTTATCGGTGACATTATGCAGGCTGTTGTGACTAGTTCCTGAACGTGACCGTGAATGCTTTCTTCTCACCATTACTCAACAATTTTTATTTAAAACAAATAAATGAAATTTAAATATTCTTCTAATTTAACCTCAACCATACGTACAAACAAATTTTGAAATTTAACGGTTGCATTGACAACTTGACAACACAATCCTTAAAAGTCACTAGAACAGTTACATACTAGGTAGTGCCCAAATAACAGCTATCCGGTTGTTTTCTTTTTAAAACGATGCATCCTGTATTAAAAACAAAATGTTAATAAAATACATAAATAAATTTCTTTTTGCAATAACTTACCTTTCAACAGTAGCTGCGATTGGAAACATAAATAGCAGATATTTTCAACTATTGCAGCACATTCACAATAAGAATTCTTAACAAAACCGAACGTAATGGCGATTAAACGATAAAAAAGTACATTCATTTGTAATGTTTTCTTATAATATTTCATCTCAAACCGAAAGAATCCTAAAATCTGACATGAATGGGCTAATTTGTTCCAAATTACTATTTGCGTTACTATCCAGAATACCGCATCTTCGAAACTACTTTTAGCAAGTTAATAAAGTTACGCAAACGTAGAATAGCCTGTATATTAAATAATTATACCTATTAGGTTCCGCAGAGGAGACTTATTGGATTATTTCTCTTATTGTCTGCCTTTTATTGTATCGTTGTCTTTATCTTCGTAGATATAAACATCATAGCCATTAAATATCAACAATAAAACGACTAAAAATAATTTTTTGAGAGAATTACCTAAATGGCCCAGTTCCAAGGAATGCAAACGACGCCGTCCGATAAGACCGAGTAATAATTGGTGATATGGAGACAGACATCCTTTAACACGGGCTGCAACTCATCCTGGAACTTCAACAACCTCTGACAGCACTCTATCATTACATCAGGAGAGACGCTGTCGTCTTTGAATAAATCAGTCAGATGCAAGGCGTCGATACACTTTTGCTGTAAGGACTGCTCTAAATATTGATTTCTAAAATATTTAACAAAATATTAATTGGAATTATATTTAAGATAACATTTACTCATTATAAAATATAAGTTATTTTCCTTAATAGGAAGTGTAAACAGCCTGTGTTATTTACAAATATTTATATTAATTTGTACTAGTTCTTCCCCCTGCCCCCGGCCATTTTTATTACTCCCCTATGACGTAGTGTCGGCCATCATTCTTTTCTGATTGTTGCAGTTGTAGGCCATCATTCTTTTTCAATTGTTGTCGCATTGTTACTGATGTCGGCCATTATGGTTTTTAATAGATGTATAGTAAACAATGATTAAAATTTAAAGGAATTGTTTTGAATAGGTACGCAACACATCGTACAATTCAGCATAAGAAATTACTAACATTCGTTTTTGTAATACTACATTGCCCTGTGCTGACGGCACCTATAATTTCTTTTATACATAGATAAGATTCTTACGTTTTATACTTTTCCATTTTCTTAGCTGCCTCCTCTAAATTGCGTGTTATGAAATTGACCATTAGGACCCCAGGACAAGAAGCTGGAACCATTATCTGACCTGTGTGGGAAAGCATTAATGGGCCAGACTCACTACAAAACCAAATAAGCCTGAGAATAAACATTTAACTCATATCTAAAAGAAAGTACCTATCAACAACGAGTTCATATTCCTTTAGGGTCTTAGGCCATTCTTTTGGAAAACTTCTCCTGCTTAAATAATCATTTAAAGCTGTCGTTATCTTCTTCAAATTATTTTCATACTCTTCAGCTAAAATTTTAGGCATAAATTTCCTAAAAGACCGTTTTATAAACATAAAAGTATATATTTCTAAGGTATCCTCACCGTCTGCCAATTTTTATGTCTCTCAATACTTGTGAAACGCATTTTTCGAATAGTGGAATACGTAATAGAGCTTTGTCATACTTTTTTACATTATGCAACAACTATGAACAGATTAAAAAAATGTTAAACAAAAATTGATTATGTATTAAATCAGAACTGCTCTTACATCAAGCCAATTATGACGGACTTCACCACTGTTAAGCATTATATGTCCATCTAAACTGACCCCTGTGAATCCAGCAAATACAAGTATTCTCCCTAAAATACAAGAATAAAAAACCAACATATTATTATCAATTACTGAAATAATTACCTTTTAGTATTTGCATTGGTTGTGGATGCTGCTCTCCCAATGCCATGAGAGCTTGCAGACAACCCTTAAAATGTTGTTCATTCCAGCCACAGTCCCAGCGGACTTCTTGCAAACCCCACTTTTGTATCAGTTCATTTCGTAACCGTTTAATGTCAGATCTAACAGGTATCTGTGTTTTTGACTTGTCAAGGGCAACTTTATAGTTTTTCTCTAGCCAATATCTTAGCCTATTAGATTCCCTTTCTAAGTCAATTTTCTTTTTCAAAATAAACATTCCAAACAGCGGATCATCCTCCTTTATATTTGTAAAGTCAACATTATAATGTGTCTTTTTTTCAGTAAATAAAGGATCTGTAAATTTCTCAGTCTTTGGTAACCCATCCACATATTTGGTAGAAAGCTTTAAACTTTGAAGAATAGAGGTAACAGTGCTTCTTATGTCCTTTTCATTTAGTTGAATATTAACCAGCTTAAATAGTCCTGAAATTTTATGTGCAGGAGTGAAAATTATTATAAGAGTAAAATCTACTTACCTTCATCTTTGTTCTTTTCTCTTACGTAAAATTTCAAATGTACAGGCTTTACAGGACGATTTTTCTGTAGGCATTCTATAAAGGAACTTAACTGTTGCAAAGAAGTCTCATTAGTCATCTATAAACAAAGCAAAACCATTTATCAACTGAATTTTATAATACAAATAACACTTAACTCTTTGGCTGGGATACTGTCCAAAAAGATCAGGATGCACGGAAAAGTAAAAGGGTCTTAGGGCTGTAGACACCTCCGTAGTTGTCATATATCGTAAATTAACATTTCGAGGAATTCTAAAATTAACAACAACAATAACAAGAATTCAAAAGAAATGCGTTATACACTTACTGTCTTATACCTTGGCAAAACATGATTACACGTAAAATAGTAATAACAGATTGAATCTAGACATTTTTAAGGTAAATATAAATCATAATAAGTGGTTATCAATATATAAATATAAACGCCACAGTTAATTTTGGTAAACAATGTTCAAAACACATGACCTTCACAACGACGTGCCTTTAAATGTCAATGACGTATTTCAGAAATTAATAACAAATTAATTACTATCATTTACAAAACGTGATAAATAAAGTCATTTTAAATTAATAGTAAAACGCAATAATAATAATAATTAAATAAGTGATAATGTATGTTAAATAGTTGGATTAAAATAGCGGGTTCTTATGTATGATACTTAGCCCATGGAGGTAGACCACCCACAATGCCCAACGGTTTTAATTTAATCTATACGTACTTTAAATTAAAATTAAAAGTACACATTTTTAATATTCTTAATAATAAATGACTAAAAAATACCCCTTGTATAATTATGTATATATATATAATTGATGTGCAGAGTTAAAAAATTAGATAAAATAAAAAAACGATAAAAAAATACTTTCTTTTTCTTGATAAATTAATTATAATAGTAGCAAATTAACACAGTACTTAATTAAGATGCAGAAGAATGTAATTAGTAAAACACAATTCACTCCAAGGCGGTACCTTTAACACCTCACAAACATATTTCAAGTTTAAAGGGAAACAGCTGATGATATAACTAAAAACCACATACAATAATTATATTTTATTCTTTAGTAGTTATGTTACCAATCGGTAAGAAATTATTATATAATAATAATTGTTCTTCTTATACAATTATGATGACCTGAAGAGGTAAAAAAAACACCTAATTACATTCTAATACATAAACGAGGACTTTATTTACAGGTGTACTATATAATAAACTAAAAAAAATAAAGGAAAAAATATAATACATATACAATCAAAATTCAACATGAATAAAGGAAAGTTATTTACGAGTCCCAACCGTATACATAAAAAGAAAACTAAACGGTCCACTATTACACTTCCAAGACCTTGAATTACTTACATTTCTCCTCTTTGTGAGACTTCCCATACATGACCAACATACAACAATTGTGTTGAAGGTTTTTCTTTTTCTCTGAAATTTTTTCTCTCACTCTCATTTCCTGTATGCTTCCAACTCTTACGGTCTCTTGCCGCTGGGTAGAAGAAGCTGCGTTGTGGTCATAGCGTCAGGGAATAACGAATGGTAATTAAGAAGGGGCACGTAGGCCGCGGTAATGACTCTTCCGGCAAACCATCTACCATGTAGGGAATTGACAGAGGCTACGGCTGTCGCTATCGACGGACATTTCACGTACACGTTGCCCTGGGGTGAGCCCTTGTCCACGTAGACGTGGAGGACACCGCCGTGTTTATTGCACTCTTCGATTACGTCGTCACGGATCTCCACGTCCCAATTTGGATTCGACTCTCTGAAAACACAACAAAAAATATAGGTATCAATAAAATGGAAATACGATTGGCAATTTCTAAATTAATAAATAAGAGTAAAACTTACGTGCTTGGGTCAAACATGTTACTGAGCATAAAACACTGCGTTGCAATCGGAGGGGTGGAATGCGTTTGTACCTGGGGAACCACAGGTTGTCCTGTGGCCATGCTGAGGGCGTTAGCAGCGGCCGCAGGTACCTGCAGACCTGCGCCTTCAGCCAATTTAAACATTAACTGCAACCGACCTGTTGCTCCCAAGTCAATTCCCGACCGATCTAACTCATCTGAGTCAAGTATCGATGGTCCTTGTGATTGTAGATCCAACCTCTCTGTCACATTACCCACCTTCATTGGCCGACCAGCCAATTCGAATCCGTTTAACTGTTCTAACGCCTTTTTGGCATCTTCGCAATTATGAAACTAAAAATTAGTTATGATTAAAATGAGATTTATAATTAAAAAATCATTATAAAACTCACCGTTATGAAACCGTAACCTTTAGAACGTCCGGTTTCTGGGTCCATAATTAGCTGTATGTTGTCTATTTTTCCAAATGGTTCAAAGATACCCCTCAGCATATCCTCAGTTATGTTAAAATGCAATGATCCAACGTAAAGACGCATAGGGCCCGTCATTGTTTTAGGCATAAGATTGGGCATCGAGTTGCCCATGCGGTTCTTTTCAGCTTGAGTGTGCTGCACTATAATCGGAACGCCCAGAAGTTTCTGGCCAGAAAGGCCCAAAGCCTGAAACAACAAAAGACAAATTATTTTATTAAACATAAGTTTACAAATAAAAACGCTTACCAATGCCACACTTTCAGGGTCTTTGAACTCAATGTAAGCGATGCCCTTAAATCGTCTCGTTTTGTTACAAGTGATCAGACGAACGTCACGAACTTTTCCAACGGAACTGAAAAATTCTTCGAGATCGCGGGCACGAACTCTCTGAGAAAGCTGCATCACGAATACAGTCCTCGCGTCCCTTTCTTCCGGACTAAGTTCTTCCAAGGGTGAAGCGCTGCGTCTTACCAAACCCAACGGTGATCGACCAGCCTTTTTGAAAGGAGGTCGTACAGGAGAAGGCGATCGCTTTCTAGGGATTTCCTTGAAGGGCGCGGCACGTCCTCCACGACTACGACTCCTACGATCACGACTGCGACTTCTACGATCACGACTCCTGCTCCTTCTTTTTTTACTGAAATAAGCAAATGTAATAAGTAATATTTACTGTAAAATAACCATTTACCATAAGATAAGTAGAAATAGAAAATAAACAAACAATCAAAAAGTCACCTTTTGTCCCTTGATCTACTACGCTTGTCTTTGGATTTCGATCGTCTTCGGTCTCGAGACCTAGATCTGCGATCTCTTGTCTTCTTTGGATCACGACTCCTACTTCTCTGCTTCCTGTCTTTCTCGCGGCTCTTCCGTTTATCTTTCCTGTCCCTGGAACGACTACGACTTTTCCTGCCCTTACTAACACTCCTTCTTCGACTTCTACTCCGACTTTTACGCGATTTGCTGATGCTACGACGACGACTCCTGCTCCTGCTACGGTGCTTGCTGAAAAATAACCGTTAAGAAAAAGTGTTAATTTATTGTATTGAAAATATTTACTCAGAAGATCTTCTTTTTCCATTGAATCCATTCTCCTTAATTTTGCCATTGTTTTCGTCCTACGAACAGCACAATGTGTGAAGACGGGCCATTGAAGAAGGCGAAAAACAGAAAGCATTAATTACTAAGTCAAAACAAACAACCAGTGCTGAACAACAAAATAATAAATATACAAATGTTTGTCCGCACTGGATCTATTATTAATAATTTTTCTTATAAATTAATGTCTAAAACCGAATACGCACAACGTTTCTTGAGAATTTCATTACATATATAAATATCAAAATAAAAAAACCGATAAATAGGAAAGACTGAATGTACTTTTGTGTGCGTATTGGTTTTAAAAAGGAAAGGAGAAAAACACAAAAAGAATAACGAGATTTGCATCTCCAAACGGCAAGTAATTCTTTCGGTAATGCTCTTGAAGCAGGGGGACCGTACGATGCCGAAACAAAACGTGTGTCGTCTAGCCAGAACTAGACTTACCGTAGTGAAGCCCTAACTAAGGTACTGCATGGAAAACTTGATCCAGATCAAAATTTCTGAAAAAATACACCCAGTAAGACCAGTCGTAACGATCGTGTGTTTGTTTTTGTTTTATATTTCAAATCAAAACGTTCATGCATCATCTCAAATTTATCACTTCAAAATTTTGATGTTTTTTTAATAAATTTGAAATAAATCGTCATCACTTATGCATGAACAATTACAACAGAAATAAATAAAAATGTTAAACAGTCTGAAGGTATGCTAAGTCCTACTTCAACCTTAAGTCACTCGTTTTATATGGACGGCAACAGTAATTGGACGAATGTGGCTTGTAAAGCCTCCTGACCAGCTATGGAGGTCTTCCAGTACGTCCTAGGGCGAGAAAGTTTCCAGTCAGCAATACCGTTTACAAATATAATACAAATTATTACCACTCCAATGCTTTTTTTTTTTATTGCCCATTTAACAAATACACAAAATAAGCTTTTATTCATCTAAATATCGAATTACTAAATTTATTCCTTTCATTCAACTTTGGTATAATTTTCTCTTTAAAATCAAACAATAATATGTATATTGATTATAGAGATATTGATAATAAAACAAAATAATATAATTGAATAATTTTATAAATAGATATACTTTTCATTGAACTATTATAAAATACCAAAATTTGTGAATAGGTATAAGTAAATTTTAATATTTTAATTAATAGTTAAATATGAAGTATATTACTTGTTTAGTTAAAAAAGCAGGCATGTTGTAATAAATTATTTAACTTAGGGATTACTGAAATATGTCATCTATTTTGTAACTTTTGACATTAAAGAAAATTATATCACAAAGTTATAGGAAATTTCAACAGCCTCATGTAGGTACATAAACAAATAAAAGAACACTTTTCAAAGCATTCTCAATCATTTGAAATAGAACCCCTACATATTAAAATAAAATATACTTAAGCCATGGAATCAGTACCTGTGCTCAACATGTGAAGGTGGCGTTAACCCGTTATTAACCTCATAAGTCTAAAATAACAAAATCAGGGTGTGAAGTACAACGGTATGGAAATAGTTACACAAATGAATAAAACTCCATCATCAATTGGTAAGTCCTTTTTGTTATATATTGTTTTGTTCTATTTGAACTTCCATCAAAGATATGTTAATTAACAAACTATTATTTTATAATTAATGGAATACTTCCTATATGTGTACATGTAATGTCAAGTAGTAATAAGATTACTCATACTAAAAATAGTTTGTTACATCATATGTCTTTTTAAAAAGAACTTACCACTTGAAAATACTAAAATCGTTAACTCATTATAAAATGATACGAATGTTGCGATGCTATTAAAATAAATAACTTACATCCTTTTTATATGGGGCTTCTAACATAGCTTCGACATCAAAATCTTCGGCCATCTTGTTTCCAAGTTAATCAGTGAAGAAATCAAAAACTAAAAACACGTCCACGTCAATTCAATAATCTTACTGGAACGTTTTAAAGATAAACTTATTTAATAAATATTTGATTTATAATTGTAATAAATTATTATAAAGTCAAATAATTACAATTTTCGCGGTTACCAGACTACGACAACAACACCCCGACAAATTCTAGAAAACAATAATCGGAATGAAGTTGCAACAAATTTTACAATTTGGAGCAATATTGCCAATACAAGAAATACCAACAAAAATCGTATTCTAACAAAAATACACTACATAAAGAATTAGAACTACATAAACGGTTAATTATTAAAAACGATATTGTATTGAGAAATATAGCTGCAACTAATATTATAAAACCAATTTAAATAACCATCCACTATTAAATTAATTCAACACTACTAAATTTTCACAGTTCACCTAATATTGGTGAATTTTAATATATCGTACGTCATATCCTTCGCAAAAGGGCGCCTCTTTTAAACGTCAAACAACTTGCACTTGTTTATTTAATTTTATTGACGTGAATAAGCTTTTTTTTTTAGATTATTTTATTAATTTTTTTGAATAATGGCTCCATTTTTGGTAAAAAAAACACACTAAACCTACCAGATAAAATATTTAAACAAATTTACAGCTTACAGTATCAAAAGAGGGACCCCCAGAGAGCCGCAACAAAAGAATAATATTTACAGAAAACATTTACAACCCCATAGTAAAAGTTACGGGATGGCAAAACGAAAGGGAAGGTCACCCTAAAGATAACGACCCTTATCGACCTTTCGAAAGAAATTTACATTTGGCTACTTACAACAGATTAGGGTGTTTTCCAGATGAACCCTTACAAAGTACAACCCATGCAATGTTAGAGGACGCAATTAAATATAAGAACGATTATTATATTCCAAATACAAATAAATACATGGTTAATTATTACGCGTTTCACGAGTAAGAAGAAAAGTTTATATATTTTGCCCATTTATAATTTCTTATGTAGTACAGGACCTTGTGAGAAGGCTGAAACTCAGGAGACTCCCTGCTCAATATGTGTTTGTAATTATGAGACAACTATGCAAGCTAGTTATGCCCCACCTCGCCCTATAATCATGCAGAGGGTGCGTTTAATTAGAATTAAGTGTAAAAGAAATAATCTTTGTAGAGTTTCAAACCTAAAAAAGTAATCTAACAAATATCTAACTTATATATAAGTAAATATTAAAAGCACATTCGTTTTCATGTGGGATTGAAACTGGAATACTAGGAATAAGTTTCTTTTTTGACCCTAATTATCTTATGAATCAAAATTGTAATATTTATTTTAGTGCAATGTTTTTGAAATATTTGTGCTTAACAATATACACTGGTCCTGAATCGGTTAATTGTATATTTTTATATTTTACTTTTCTATCTTTCAGGTATCTTTTAAAACAATTCCATTTGAACAATATAGGAAAGTCAAATGGGCAACTAACTATCCACTACAAAGTAATACTAAATTTTGGGATGATATACTGTCAGAGCAAATATGCAGAACACAAATTAGAAATGGTGCTAAAAATGCTCCTTTGAAAAGGATTAATGAACTTTAGAAATAATACTAAGAATTAGTATGACCTCTAATAGTAACGTATTTATTTTAAAATAAAATAGAACATACTGTAAATCTAATAATAATTGTTGTTATAAAAATGTGACTTTATCATCTTGAAAATTAATTATTACATTTGTACTAATAAGCTCTCGTTTTTATTTCTCTTCTTAATTACACTGATTGAAATATGCTTAATTATTCTTGAGAAATGATAAACATACGAGAGAAATTACTATGAATCAAAAGACTACGAACAACGCAAGTAACAAGTAAAAAACTTAACAAGCATTTAAACAAAATATTAACATTAAATATAAAAAAAAACTCGTTAATCTTTGAAGACAAACCATTCAACTTCCAATATTGTTAAAATACTTATTACTACATACACAAAGAATAAAAGAAAATAAAAACGATTAAATATGATTCATAATAAGTATTTCTTTCCTTTGCAAATCAAATGCAAGACAAGTAGTAATTCTAAAGTTCACAAAACTATTTTTTCAAGACACTAAATTATAGACATTTTACTTGATCTGCCACACTTATTCTTTTTTTTTTACTTGAAAGCTGTTGAAAAAGTAGTACAGCCTTTTGAATAACATTTAAGTTATTTTTTCTTCTTTAACAACAGCTGAGTAGAAGTACTTAATAAAATAAAAATTGTTATAAATTGAAAATAAAAATGTACAACACCCTGTACTTGTAATAACAGCAATAAGAAACAAACAAATTTGTCAGTGAAATCGTTTTCTTTTAAAATTCTTTTTACCTTTACCTTTCATAGATGATTTACGTTTTGTACTTTTCTTGTTTGATCCAAAATCGGTCAATTCGTGTCCTAATGATCCCATGGTAGTCAGCTTCTTTCTCATTTGCTTTTCAACTTTTGTAACAGGCAAACGAGTTAAATATTCCTCCTCATATTCCTGGCGTTCCTTCTGTTGCTTAGTTAAGATTTGCTGAGCACGATTATTTTGAGCAATTTCAACAGGAGTATCCAAATATTCCTCTTTTAGTTCTTCAATGACTGAAGTTGAAAGTGCATGTTTCTTATTTCTTTCATGAGCCCTCTTATTACGTTCCACAGCAGTATCATCTATATAAGGGAAAAATAAAAGCAATATATTTTGGAGGTAGTCTTTAAAACTACTCTCTACTACACAAATAAAAATTCTTACCCATAAAGTGAACAGCTGCTAATTTGGGAGGAACATAAACATTTTTTGATTTTGCACTCTTAACATTTTCTTCTGAATTATCACTGTCCTCATCAGAATCACTGTCACTGTTATCCATAAGACTCTTTGGATTTGCTTTATAAAGTGTAGCATCATCAGCTTCTCTTCCACTAACAGCTGTCTTAACTAGTTTGTCTATTTGATATTTTAGTTTGTGATCAATGGGTCTAATTTTCTCCAGTACTGTTCTCAATTCAATTAAGCGATCTATACAAGGATCACCTTCAATATTTTCTCCAGAACATTTCCTTAATACAATAAAAGTTAAATTTATTAAGTAGCTTAAGAGTGTGTGATATTTCATCTCTAGAAAACTGAGACCCTGGTCTGTGGAAATTTCACCTTTCCTTACTCTTTGAAGCATATTATCAACGAGAGAGGCAACATGTTGTGTACTTGAATTCATTTCATTTAACAGTATTAAAGCTTGGGGGAGATTTGGATGTCCCATGGCACCTTCAGGAGCCTAAAATTATTTGGAAAATCAACTTTATCACTACTTCTGCAAAGTGAAATTGTACGAAAAATGACACCAGCCTTTAAAAACCAAAATCGATTTTGGCCTTTTTTTCTTTTTATTAATCAGATCACGCCATTTTATAAGGGTGAGGGTAAAAAAAACCCAACAAAAACACTCTTTTTTTCGTTGAATTTCTAAGAGTCCAGCCTTTTTGGCTTGTTAAAGTAACAAAAATAACTCACCTGAACCATTTTTAATCAATATATAATAGATTGTACTCTTTCTTTTAAAACAATTTTAATTTAAAGCACGTGTTATTAAAGTTTTCATCGGTTATATTTCTTTGTTTCTTTCATTCGTTCCATTTTTTGCAATTAACTGTGTTTACATTACCCCTACTATTTAAAATTTGTAGTTTGAAAAGAATGATAAATATTAACAAACAAAAATTGTTGTTTTATTCTTATTAAGACTGTAAGATAAAGCATTTTTCGTCTAAAACTTTTTTGTAAGATAATATCGCTGTTTTATATAATAACTTTGTAACAATTCTAAAACTAATGGATACAAGTGGTAGTGCAGACACATTTTAAATTTTGCAATAAAAAACCACCTGCTGCCATCTTTTAGCAAAATCTCATTGACAATCTTTAATTGACAACACAAAAACAAATAATTTACCCCTTTAATGAATAACATTTATCATTTAAATGATAAGTGAAGATTATTGTTTCCCGTTTTAAATAAATGTATGCTTATCAAGATAATATTACCATTATTAGTGAGTGTACAGTGACATCGTTTAACATAGACAGGATGTGAAGCTTGAATTTTATTTGTGGACGTAGTTTCTACCCCCTTTAATAATTTGTTCAATAGTAGCTGTTATTAACTTCCAGCATGCCAGTTTAGTTAATAGACAACACTCATCGACTCAATTAAAATGTTGGTTCCTGGAATAAGGATTGTTAGGGGGCCTGACTGGTCATGGTCAGATCAAGGTAATTATTGTTTATATTATATTGTCAAGTATAAATGGATTACTTTTTAATCGATAGACGGTGGTGAAGGCCATGTTGGCACTGTTTGTGAAATTGGAAAACCAGGAACAATGGGTTCACCTGACAAGACGGTTGTTATACAATGGGACAATGGAACACGCACAAATTACAGAATTGGCTATTTGGGAAAGTATGATTTGAGAGTGATTGATAATGCACAAATTGGTAATTAATGTTTAAATTGAAAAGAAATTTAATTATATCATGTAACTGTTGTTGACAGGTGTTAAACACCAAAATATTGTATGTGATGGGTGTAAGAATCAAGGAATAGCAGGTATGCGTTATAAATGCAGTGTTTGCTATGATTATGACTTGTGTTATATGTGTTATCATGGAGGTAAACATGATCTAACCCATGTTTTTAAAAGATATGACTCCACAACCTCATTAGGGTAAATAAATATGTCTTTTATAAATATTTTATAAACTTCAAATCTTTTTAGAACTGATTTGCCCCCTAGAAAGAATGGAAGAAGATGTGAGTTGAAAGGTATATTTGCGGATGCAATTGTGGCAAGAGGTTTTAACTGGGAATGGGGAGATCAAGATGGGGGAGAAGGTACTTTATATAATATTAATAATTAAAAGTTATTACACTTTTAAAAAATTAAATGTTCAGGAAAAATGGGCAAAGTATTGGATATAAGGGGTTGGGATAATGAAAGTAGTAGATCTGTAGCTAATGTAACATGGTTTTCTGGCTCAACAAACGTTTACAGGCTTGGCCATAAAGGAAATTGTGATATCAAATTTATTGAATCTTCCTCAGGAGGTTTCTATTACCCTGAAGCCCTAACTAA